TTAATGGTCTGACTGAGACTGGAGGAACCCCAGAAAGCATGGCCCCTGGATTCTCTATCAGCCCAGAACTAAAACAATTTCTGAGGCCAACTCTTCACACAGCGATTGGACTGGACTGTGGGACATAAAGTGATACTCATGAAGACTGCGCCTCTTAGTCAAGTAGATACCAGAGACCAAAAGAGTAGCTTCTGTCCAGAGGTGAGATGGGAATGCAGAGAGGGTTAGGAGCTGATTGAATGGACATGGAGAATCAGGGGTGGAAAGGAGGAGTGTGCTGTCACAGTATGGGGAGAGCAATTAGGGTCACATAACAATGTATGTATACATTTTTGTATGGGAGACTAACTTGAAATGTAAACTTCATTTAACTACAACAATAAAAAAAAACTAAAAAAAAGAAAAAGTTATCTTTGAGTCAGTTTCATCTCAGGGTGACCCCATGTGTGAAAGTAGAACTGTGCTCCATAGGGTTTTCAATGGCTGATTTTTCAGTAGATCATCAGACCTTTCTTCCAAGTCACCTCTGGGTAGACTCAAACCTCCAGTCTTTGGGTTAGCAGCCAAGGGTGCTTGCATCCCCCAGGAACTTGGGGAAAGGCATGCTGTTGTTAACTGCCATCGAGTTGGAGTCGCCTCGACTCACAACGCACAAGCCTCCACAGGTGGTGGGGGCACATGTGGTGCCCAGGCTGGGAATCAAACCTGGGTCTCCAGCATGGAGGGCAAGAATTCTACCACTGAACCACCAATGCACCCAGGAAAGGGACATAGGGAGCTCCAAAAGGTAACTGGGCCTGGGCCTGCTATTCTTCACCCAGGGGCCCTATACTAGGGGACACTCCCACAAGATAAGCAGGGCATTTCAGTTGACAGATGCCAGGAGAGACTGTTTTCCAGGCCAAAGCAGGTATACATCACCAACAAAAGGGTCTTTTGGTTCCCTGGTCCTCTTCTCTCTTGTCCTGTGGTGCTCAGCATCAAGGAGAACAAGCAGCCCGGGTCATAGCAGTGTTTCTCAAAGCGGGTGCGACTGGCATTAGGCGTGGGACAATTTTTCTTTATGTAGGACAGCCCCACACACTGTAGAACATTTAGCATCTCTGGCCCCTGCTTGCTAATTGCCAGTTGTAGCCCCCAGTCACTGTGACAACCACAATGCTCCCTACTCGCATTTCCAAAGTACACCCCCCGGCCCCCGTCTCTGGGGTTGAGGGTTGCCCAGTTGAGAACCAGGTGTGCAAAGGAATCTGGAGATTCCCAGGATCCTCCACTCATTCATGCAAAGCAGCAATTACCAAATGAGGCCTCACGTCCAGCTGAGGGGACGCTGGAGCTCTGCCAACAACAATGACACAGGCAGGGGGTTGCTTTAGGTGACCTAGACAACTGTTCTGAGTCTGTTAATGGTTAGTTGACAGCGACAGGCTCACGTTTCAGGAGAAGGGGGAAAACACCCTCTAAAAGCAAAATGAGCACTATAACAAAAGAAATATCCCAACACCATCCTCATACCCCTCCTACACCCCCGCTCACAATCAGGACTTGAAATCTGAGCTTGGTCTCTCCAGTGTCCATTTGACCCCCTCAGTGAATGAACACTGCCCCCGGCAGTCTCTGCCTTGCCTTGCTGGTTTAAAGGACTTCATTTCCCTGTGCTGCCATAGCAACTGGGAAACAACCTCTGCTCACAGTAAGGATGGTGCTGTGGCCCAATGCATAGATACACACGGCCCTGGTAACAGAGCAACTAGGACAGAGGGACAACAAGGGCTCAGGCGAAGGGGAGAGGGAGGTGGCCCACAGAGTAGACAACCCAGCGCTTGAGGAGTCTGGGTATGCGGTTTATTTTCTCTCCCGTCAAAGGCACACACTGTCTAAACTGTGTGGCTGGTTGTTATTAAGAAGCTGCTCTAAGAGGGAAAAATGTATTTAATAAAAGGCCCAGTGTTTGTGGTCTTCTCGGGCCAGCTGCTGAGCTTAGGAAATCTTGAGGTGTGACCAGTTTTCAGCCTTCAAAACCAAGATGAACTGCCCTTGAGAAGGGGTGGTCAGAGGCAGAACATGTACACGCTCTCTCTCCTCAGCCGGGGACATGGGAAGTTGGTCCAGAACAAACAGAAGTTGGAAGTCTATCTTGAACCAGAGGTGAGTCTTACCGCTGTAAAGGCACATTTTGGGGGTGAGGGAAGAGTGCTCCATTTTTCATTTGGGGGTGAACAATGTGAGTCTTCGTTTGTGTTGGTAGTGAAGTACTGGGGGGTCACTGGTATACTTGTCCTCCTCTTTCATGGAACTCAAGGAAATAACATAGTTTGCCTGACACACCAACATTGCCACTGGGCCCTCTTCCTTCTCCTTGTGCACCTACTTACAGCCTCATTAGCTTTAGACTGAAGGAGATTCCAGATTTTCTGGAATTTGCGTGGTTTGGTTCAAGACCAGAATTTCCACGTGGATTCTAGGCAAGCTGATGGTTGTTTGGTTTTAGAAGTCGTGCTCTGTGGTTGAAATGCTGTATATGTTCATGCCATTTCCATGGCTTCCTTAAACTTTCTGGAATTCAATCCACAAGACATATTTTATATAGGCCAAAAACAAAAAAAAAAAAAACAAAAAACCCACTTTAGAAGATTTTAAAGAGGTGGCAAAATTCCCTTGTTGTACTGGAATTTTATTTCATTGAATCCTGCCAGGAATGAGAAATCCATTGGAACACTTTGAAAATTTTTGTGTCACACAGAGATTTCTATTGTCATGGTGGTTGTCATGATATTTGACCTTTGTTGTATTAAAAGACATCTAAAGTTTCAAAGGACCTCTGTGGCCAATGGCGTTTACTTACTTACAAGATATGTAACTACTTTATAGGCTCCTAAATAGCCAAATTAGATAATGTTACATAGCATCTGGAATGTATAGAAATTCTCTCCGTGTACAGCTGAAGTGCTGCTGAGTTGAAATAGTGGTTTTCTCCTATTTAAACTGCCAGCTAGTCCAGGTCTAATTTCAAAGTTATCTGCTGCCCTTGATAATTCTGACTACTTACTTGCATACCAAGAAACTTCAACTGGCCTGTAACCTACGTTCTACCCCATTTAAGCCTCCAGGCATGAACGGCTCTCCTTAAAGTCTCATGGGGTAAGACAGAACCAAGCTCTGGGTTCTACTAATTTTGAGATGTGGAGAGCAAAATCCGTTGCTAAGAAAAGTGATTGTACTCCTTGATGCTGTGTGAACAATTCAGAGAAAATCAATACCTAAGTCAATGTCAAACACCCTATGCAAGCAGTGTTTGCTATCAAAACCAAGCCAGCTGCTGTCAAGTCGATTCTGACTCATGGCAACCCCCTGTGTGCAGAGCAGAATTGCTCCATAGGGTATGTATGGCTGTGACTGTTATAGAAGCAAATCACCAGGCTTTTCTTCTGAGGTGCCTCTGGGTGGGTTCAAACCACAAACTTTTGATTAGCATTTGCACCACTCAAGGACTCCATTTGCTATAAAATGATCTCAAAGTGGATTGGTCAAGGTAGTTTCTTTTCCCTGCAGGATTACTTGAACTGGAAGTCCCCAGAAGATTATGTCCTGGTCAGCAAACCCCACAATGAGAACAATGCCAGCCAGGACTCCTGGAGCCTCTTTCTTCCTAAAACTTTCAGCACTAGAAAAGGTGCCCTAATCCTCTACTCAGAAGGTTTAGCCATATCAGCACGGACACCAGAAGAGAGAAGAAAAGGCACCTGCCACCCCAAAGGCCACAGGAAGAGGCTGGGTCACAAACTGCATACACTTAAAGACCTCAAAGAAGCCATCTTGGCATATGGAAGGAACAAGGTAGGCAGAGCAAAGCCTTGGGTTTGGGGAAGGCACTGGCCTGCATGTCTAGAGATCCAGCTGCAGCTTTGGGTATGACTTCTCTGACCCTAGGGAAGGTATGAAACCCTAAGACCTCCATCTCTTTATCTCTAAAATGGGCTCTGTCTACCTCACACAATTGTCATGAGGCTTAAATGAGATAATGTATATGAAAAGGCTCTGAAAAGCATTAAGGGCTATATTATCATTTTGTGTCCTTTCAGTTACAGTAACACAAAGTCCTTTTCAGCATTCAGACAGATCCAGGCCAGCAGACGTTTCCTCAGAATCCTTGAAATCCTGTCTCGTGGTCATCATCACACCTCTGATGTTCTTGGCTTTGTGGAAATGAGAGGGAGAACATTTTAAATATTTACCTTGAGCCCTTCAGTGTCTGCAGGATAAGTTAATGACTTTTTTCCATTCTGAATTTAATATTAAGGGAAAACCCCTGTGTTCATTTTTCTGATTCATACTTTCTAATATCCTGTGAGATGTGCACATGGCTCCTGCTTTATACAACTGCAGGCATCAGCCCTTTGTCTGAGTCAAAGAGAAAGGCTGAGGAGATGTATAACTTTATGAAGTTCAAGGTTGTAGATAACGGGTTACTCTCTAGTTTAGAAGTCTCTGCTGGCTTCTCATTCCCCGCAGGATAAAGTCATTGGCTTTTTATAACCAGCCCTTCACATGCTGGCTTTCTCCTCCATGTCTAGCCACATCTCCCACTTCTTCTTACCACCACCTCTACCATGGACCCCTCAAGGCCCCACCCATCTGAATAGCTCACCCTTTTTCAAACACTGTGTGCCCCTTCGCGACTCTATGCTTTCGCACATGCTTCTCCAGCTAGCAAACTCCTGCTTATCCTTGAAGACACAACTCAAATGTCATCTCCTCTCTGAAAACTTCTCCCTCTTCCCTAGGCAGGGATATCCCATTGTTCCCTCTGTGGACATTCCCAAACTCTCACGCACTGCAATTTATCTCCTTGCCCATTTATTTGCCCTGATAGAATAGCATCTCCTTGAGGGCCGCAGGGGCCATATCTAAGTCATTTCCAGAAAATGATGAGTACCCATAAATGTTTGTGGAATGAAGGAGTCAGTTATGTGCAATATTTAGATGATCTCGCAGTATCATTACTGGGAAATTTATCACCTACTCAAACTTAGGCAGAGCTTCCAAAAGAAAGACTCTTCTGCCCCGTCCTATCTTTCAAAATACAGAGAGGCTTGATAACCTTGACCAAATGCCCAACTGTACTTAGTCTTAAAATCATAAATTCATGGGTGAAAGGAAACCAATAGTGGAATGCTTACTATTACTTTATAGCTACTATTGTATTTAATCCTCACAATGACCCTGGGAGATATGGTTATTCTTGTCCTCTCTTTGTAGATGAGGAAATGGAGGCTTAGGAAAGTTAAGTGCTAGCTCAAGGCCTCATAGCTACTAAATGACAGACCCAAGATTCAAACCCAGCATTTTCTACCTCCCTAGGAAACCCTGGTGTCATAGTGGTTAAGAGCTACAGTTGCTAACCAAAAGGTTGACAGTTTGAATCCACCAGGTGCTCCTTGAAAACCATATGGGGCAGTTCTACTCTGTCCTATAGGGTCGCTATGAGTCAGAATCAACTCAGTGGCAACAGGTTTGCTTTTTTGTTTAGGCCGGCATGCTAGGTACTATGTCCTATTGTCTCTGGATTCAGAAAGAACTCCAGAGGTCATTGTGTCAGGCCTTGGCTTGTTTTCCCTCAAACCCATTCCATGCCGTTGCCCTGCTCTGCTCTGCATCACAGGGAGGTTGACCCCAGGTTATGATTCTACAAACTTTATGTCCTGTGCCAAATGAATTTGCCAATGGGAGATATTGGAAGGATATTGAGGAGGGGAGAGAAGGGAAAAGTCAACGTATTTCTCCTCTCCCACTCTGCCTCTGGTGGCGAGAAGCATCTACATTTCTTCTGTGGTCCAGCTCCCAACAGACAGGCCTGCTATGGCTCCAGGTTCCTTTAGGTGACCCCACTAGCTTCTCCCTCTCTCTCCCTCTAGCCTAGGAGTGGTGCTGGCTTTCTGAAGTTGCTAATCTCAGTGTTGCCTCACCATCTGCTTGGCTTTTGAGCTCTTCAATTACCTGTGTAACCAATTCCCTGGATTAAATTCCTTCTGTTTTTAAATACTTAGAGTGATTTCTGTTTTCCTCGTTGGATACTGACTGTCTAGACTAACTTACTGCCCAGAGTAAGAACACCTTCCACAGCTTTCACATGCTTGTCTGTATGGCTTAAATACTTCTGGAAACAGAGATCTTTTTATTTTTTAAAGTAGATGAGTCCATTTTGGACAGCTTCATTTTTTGTTAGACCTAGACTCAATAAAAACAGAAGTTTCTGTCTTCCTGTAATATTCATCTACTAGATGTATAACTTGTACCTTTGCACAAAGCAGAATACTAATCTAACCTGAAATGGGTAGAATGGAAATGGTGTGTTTGGAATAGTAATAGGGCAGGAATTTAAGGAGATTAGAGAACATAGTAGATTGAAACAGGAGGAGAAGTAACTCAGAAGGGATTTGGGATTTAAAAAAATGAACATCACAGAAAAGTAGAGCTTTGGAAAATAGAGAGTACTATCTGATTTTGACAACTACAGGCTGGCCAAAACTTTTAAAATCATAATACCTAGTGCTGGGAAGGATATGGGGAAATGAGCAATCATACGTTAGGAGCACAAATTTGCATGGCATTTCTGGAGGGTATTTTGGCAAAAGTCTTAAAAGGCATAGTGATCCCTTTTGATTCAACATTCTACTTTTAGGAATTTGCCCTAGAAAATAATCAGATATGTGCCCAAGGATTTATGCACAAGAATATTTATTACAGGGTTATTTATAAATATGCAAAATACTGAAAACAATAACTGTCCAACAATGGAACACTGATTAAATAAATGATGGGACATTCATACATAGTAATGGAGTTTAGGGCAGCCGATAAAGTCATGTATTTATCATGAATGGGATGGGAGGAAACGTTTACAGTGTATTTTTAAAGCAGGTTACAAAAATAGTGCTCATATAATAAAAATACAAATTTTTCTTAACATTTTTTGAGTATTTACTATGTTCTTGCGAGTATTTGAAGTGCTTTCCATGTATAACTCATTTGTTCTTTCTAACAATCCTGTGGGTAGGTGCTATGATGATATCATTTTAAAGATAAGGAAACTGAAGCACAGAGTTTTGAGTAACTTACTCAAGGTTATACATACAAGTAGACGGATTATGCCACAATTCAAAACCAGGCAATGTAAACATGCCTCTTGATAGTCCCAATTTAAAAAAAAAAATTAACTTATGCATTAGCAGAATGATACACCCCAAAATTCTAACTATGGGTAGTAGGATTATAAATTATAAGTTTATTTATACTTTTATTTTTAAAAAAAAAATTCATGGAATTCTTAAAATACAATAAAAATCTTTGGATTAGAAAGAAGTAGCACGCAAAAGGGAGAGAGAGGTTGACCCTAGCGAACCAGGTGAGAGGATCAGGAAGGGAAAAGAAATGGCAAACAATGCTGTCAATTGAGCCCACCAATGACTACGCCATCTGTTCCTCAGGGTCAGTATTTCTTTGCCCAAATAGTATAGTTCAAGAGTTAAACACACCACACTCAAAGTAAAAGAGCCAAAATGGGGAGGGCAGAAAAGGATGGAGGGGCGTTCACTGATAAAGTCATGCTGCTTAGAGAAGGATCTGTTCTGTACCAGCTGAACCACGAATCAGGAAACCCTACATAACTCAGGCCCACTCAGACCTGTGAGAACTGAGGCAGTTGCAGGGAGGTACAATTATGTTTAAAATATCTCACATCATCTCCAGTTCTATATGTGGACCTAATGACATGCATGGGGCAACACGCCTGGGTTCTATAGCTCAGCATACACCTACTCTTTAACTTTCTTGACGGCACAACTTCCTAATGAGCAAAGAGATGTCAGCGTTCTCAGACTTTTACATACATAAAAAGATGTTGCTTTTTTTTCTTAAGTAAAAGGAAATATTGTCCAAATATTTCCAAAATTAAAACTGCTCTCCTTGAATTCATTCAGCTTCACATTATTTAGAAATCAAATCGCTGTAAAACCTAAATAACCAGAATTTTTGGTAGTCTCTAAATGATAGTCATAGTAATGCTATTGAAGCATAACAGAACGCTAAAGTGTCTCCCAAATCATCTGAAATATTCAATAATTTCCATGTTGTTTTAGTATCTCTTATTCTTATATTTTTAGAATTTTGTAAATCCAGTGGATGTTTTTAAAATATGCAACTATGGGACATTGATTAAATAATGCATTAAGAATGATTTGTTAAAAAATATTCAATTCACAGAACATCCCATTTTCCTATCTCATGAGGGATAAACAGGATTTAGATTACTACAGTTGATTTCAACTAAAGTTGTATTGCTTCTATCACGTCTCTTATAAATGTGGTTACATTTAAGAGTATTGTCAGCCTTGTTCCACTGGATGTATGTCCCCATTCATTCTTTGCTGCCTAATTTCCCCCCATACTGCAATACTCAGGCACTTAACTCTAGCTGGTGATATCAGACGATGTTCAACCCATGAAGAAACCTTCAGGTTACTATTTTATCAAGTAATATTGTGAGAAATATGTTTTTAAAATAAAATTTATTTTTTCCCATCCTAAACATAATATAAGCTCCTCATACAAAATAGGAAAATATCGAAAAGTAGGAAGAATAAATTATCCATTATCCTTTCAGCCAAAGATCGGGAGGTCAGTTTTGAAGCTCCCTTTGCAAGTCCAAACTAAGAACCTGCTACTTGTTCCAACAGTGCCACTAAGAAGTGAGAAGTGCTCTGATGGCCGCCAACAAAGTGTCAGGTAGATCCCAAGGTGATGAAGGGGAAAAAAGAACGACTTCACTGCACTGCTTT